TCTATAGGGACTATAAATTATGTATGAAAAAAGCTCCTGTATAGAGTAGTATTTGTGGATGAGTCACCTCTGTAATATGGGTCTAATTGAAGTTCATTATGGTGACACGTGGGCATAAATTGACTAATGCTAGGGTGATTACATAGGTGCTGCATTTCTGGGTCCTAGTGTGGGTAAATAGGTGATCTAGTAAATTAGATGGATGAGACAATGCCTGGTTTTAGTGTACTTACATGGGTCAAACAGTGTTTGGCATCTGGGTGACACAGAACCTGGTCTTTAATGAGTTATATGGGTGACACAGAACCTGGTCTTTAATTAGTTATTGTCACAGTAGTTTACCCCAACTCGCAAGATTTAGTCCAACAATTGACAATATAGAGCAGATACGTCTTACCGGACCTTAGAATGGCCGGACTCGACGTAGAGCAGAGAAATACAGAGTCAGGAACGATCCGAGGTCAAGGGTACAAAGAGACAGCGAAAACAAGAACTAGCCAAGGTCTGGTACACAGTAATCAGTAAGCCGGCAAACAAGACAAAACAGGGATAAAGAGATAAACGGAGACAGATACAAGCCAAGGTCAAGTACGAAAAATCACAACTGAACAAAACAAGCGCTGAAGGGAACTGAAACAGAAACCACGATAGGGCAGGGAGTTAAGGGAGAGATAAGTATAAATACCCTAGCATTTAATTTGATTGGCTCCTGTCACATCCACGCCCCCAACATGTGAGTGTATAGGGAATGTGGGATGACAGGGGCCAATGGGAGACCGTTTTACTTTTCGGCTCCCACTGTCCCTTTAAGAGCGTGCCCGAGACGCGCGGCGCGCGCTCTCAGAGCTAGGCGGTACACGTGACCGCATATAGCGGTCAGTGCCGCCGTCATCTGAGCCCCGAGCGGCGGGGAGAATAGAGGACCTTGGCCGGCACCCAGATAAGGTAAGTACCGCTACAGTTATATGGGTGACACAGAACCTGGTCTTTATTGATGTACATGGGTGACACAGAACCTATTCTTTAATGAGTCACATGGGTGACACAGAACCTGGTCTTTAATGAGTTACATGAGTGACACAGAACTGGGTCTTTATTGAGTTACATGGGTGACACAGAACCAGGTCTTTATTGAGTTACATGGATGATACAGAACCTTGTATTTATTAAGTTACATGGGTGATACAGAACCTGGTCTTTATTGAGTTACATGGATGATACAGAACCTTGTATTTATTAAGTTACATAGGTGATACAGAACCTGGTCTTTATTGAGTTACATGGATGATACAGAACCTTGTATTTATTAAGTCACATGGGTGATACAGAACCTGGTCTTTATAGAGTTACATGGATGATACAGAACCTTGTATTTATTAGGTTACATGGGTGATACAGAACCTGGTCTTTATTGAGTTATATGGGTGACACAGAACCTTGTATTTATTAAGTTATATGGGTGACACGGAACCTGGTCTTTCTTGAGTTATATGGGTGACACGGAACCTGGTCTTTATTGAGTTATATGGGTGACACGGAACCTGGTCTTTATTAAGTTACATAGCTTATATAGATTTGTGAGTATAAACTTGGCTTATATATTTTACCTAAGAAGTACAGTATACTACTCTATGTTCCTGTCTCTTATATACTTCTATTAGGATTGGTGAAGCAAGATACCTACATTCACAAGGGTTGGTCGCCTTATCGACCCGACTGCTATTCCAACCAGAGCTAGGTTCTTAAGCTCTTTTTGTTTTATACCTTCAAGTTTTTAATAAGATTGTGCAATGGAATATATTTAATTTTTTTTTTTATTACCTGGATTTGGTAATAATATCTATTGATCTGAAGTCAAATTGGCCAAACAACGTGTCTTGTCCTTATAAAAGTACATGGGCAATACAGAACCTGATCCTTGAGTGGATGTATGAGCTGATTTATTTGCGTATATATATGTATAATAGGCCTTGTCGATGTATAGTTGCATGCAGAGGCGTAATTAGAAACCACAGAGCCCTGGTGTGAAAATTGCCCTGGGCCACCCCCCCCCCATATGTCTACCCCCGCCAGCCCCCACACACGTCCCCAACCTCCCCACACATGCAGACAAACAGATACACATGCAGGCACACACAAATTACACACACATACATGTAGACACACACATACATATTTTTACTTACTTTGTGAGGATACATGGGTAATGGAGTGTTTAGTCTTTGTTTCAGTACAGGGGTGATACAGTGTCCTTTCCTTGTGAAGGTACATTTGTGATGCAGTGCCTGGTGCTTATGAGGGTACATGGCTGACACCGTGTACGGTGCTTTTGTTTCTTAAGTAATTTAATAAAGGGCTTGTACTCCTCAATGGTAAATTTCTTGTATTTATGAATTGGGCATCTTGTGCACATGTATTTGATCCGCACAATTAATTGTGTGCATACCTACCATAACTTACCTATGCCTGTTATGTTACCAACTATCTGTTTTTAATCTCCGAACATTAAACATCTGACAAACATATAAATCACTATGTCTTTACAGACTTACTTTTTACCTGATTTCAAAATTAAAGGGAAAATTCCATTACATACATCTTGTAATTGTGTAGGCAAACTTCCAATTATATTCTTCCATAAAAACAAACAAACCTTTATTGCTCTATTTGTAAACGTAGACAGGTCAACCTTCTTTCTGTCATATCATAAACATACTATAAAAATACTGTAAAATGCTCATAAACAGATCATAATCTAATGAAATGCCACAATACTTTTATCACACATGCAGTGAAATGAAAGATATATTGTATATAGTTCTAAACATTTTTCATGAGTGGCATTGGGTACCAAAATAATCATACCATCTTATGTTTAAGCCAACAGATCCAATGGCATCCTTTGCGTAAAATCAAGATAAAAATATGATTTTCACTTTGACAAGAGCGCACTTAGATACTTTCCTACAAAACAGTAAAGGCTGTGTATGGTACATTAATCTTTGGCTTAGGGACAGGTTGGGTACCATAAAAAGCATACTTCACAAACATCTAAAGTCTCAAATAAGTCAGCATCAAGTGCATCAGGAATGTTTATAAATCCAGGGAACATGTAAACAAAGAACATTGAAAACTAACTTCCAGAGAAGACTAACTTCAAAGGGTTACTTTAACCCTTTGGAGAGTGGGGACCTTTCTGGTGTAATATGCCCTATTGGGCACTATGGCCTATTATGCACTACTCCATTTGTAGTAAAACCTTAAACTTTAAGAAAAATGGTTTTACTTACCTGGAATCTAGCGCCAGGGGAAGATCCCAATGCTGGTCACCCACTCCCCATCCTGACCTCACACCTCTATGAGAAGGCTGTGATTGGACCTACTGTAGGCTGAGCATTCATGCACGCACTACAGGCCAGCGTGGGGAGGGAGTGGGGAAGAGGAGGAAGTTTTTGTTTTTTTTAAAGGTGCAACGGAAAGAGAAAGGAGGGCGCGCCCACAGGAAGGAAGGGGAAAGCTAGATTCCCCTTGCAGGTGCCCTGCTTACAAGTTCAAGATTTCTACGTCTTTTGTTAGCATAAGGCAGACCAGAACAGAGCTCTGAGCTGTCAAAGTAATTTGTGCTGGGGGTACAACTAGCCCGCAGCACACAAGTGCAAATATTTCAGTATGTGTGGGGTTTCATACTCCTACCATCATGATCATTAAGTGGTCATGGTGGTTGGAGTAACACTTTCATTTCCAGATATTTACCATAACCTAGCCTAAATTAGAGAGGCAAAGGTTTAAAAATAATATCAGGAAGTATTACTTTACTGAGAGGGTAGTGGATGCATGGAATAGCCTTCCAGCTGAAGTGGTAGAGGTTAACACAGTGAAGGAGTTTAAGCATGCGTGGGATAGGCAAGTGTTGTGGACAAGAATATTAACCCAATTAATGTTAGTAAAATGCCTATTTACTCAGCATAACCATAATCAGCATTATACATAAATTACCTAAAATGGCCGCTAGGGAGTTTCCCCTTGTCATCAACTAACATCCTCATTAACAAGATGGCGCTGGAATCTGGGGGAGACCTCCATGATGCCAGTGACATCACACCCGGTAGGAAGAGCAATAAATGAACCACTTAACCCCTAACCAATTATTGATGTATTATTCTCCGTTATCTCTGACAATGCATATGATGTAATTCTGCTTTATAAGGGGCATGCCATCCCCCTGGAATAAACTCTTCCTCAAGTCTTTCATTAACCTGAAACTTGTGTCTGGTGTGAATTACCTCAGGAGCGTGCACGCATACTTCAATTTGGCCAGGGGCAGATATGCAAGATTATCAATTATTTGATTGATTCCACAACAATAAGGCAATCCTAACTATAAGATAAGGCCAGGGACTAATGAAATTATTTTTAAAAATTGGGCAGATGGGGGGCGGAGCCTGACCACAGAGCCGTGCAGCCGCAACTGACACGAGCTCCGGCCAGGCAGACAGAATCCAGGGTGAAAACCCACATCGTGGGTGCCCCACTGAACCTAACAACACCACCCCGGGACCTGTCGGAGCCGGGATCACAGGGATCCACCTGTGGCCTACTGGGGCTGAAGCAAAGGTGAGGCGGCCCACCCCCATGGACCGGTGGGGGACATCCCTGTCCCCACAGGGCATACAGACCTGATGAGAAAACAAGCAGGATAGATGCAGAGCATAGCGGGGCAACAGACCCACAAAGACCGACCAAAATGGCCCCCCCAGCCTATGCCTGGAAAGAGGAGCACCTGTATCAAGACACACATGTCCCCTCTGGAAACCTTTGAGCGCCTCTGCGCAGGACTCAAGGAGGTTCTACACACCCGGGGAGCAACCCACTGCCAAGCTGAATTAACGGTGGCCTCATGGATACGTCCTGCAGCGAGGCACAGTTACTACATTCAGGTACCATAGGCCTCCAAGATGGTATTTTGACATAACAGACACTGCCGGGCCTCGAGGCGGAATATGGCACCAAACCCCCCGGGCACACAAGCCCACCAGCACACTAGAAACACCGGAGTTACAAACCAGGCGATGCACACACATCTCCCATCCAACCGAAACCCCGGCGACCAGTGCAACACAAAGCACATCTCCCCATCCAAGGCAACGTCACAAGCGGCTACGCGGCTGCACAACATGGGGGGAATTATCAGAGCAGACCCACGAGGCGGAGACACCGGACCCTGCAGCCGCAAAGACGGGACCAGCAGACACAACACACAGGACTTACCACCATTGGGCATCGGCTGAAAAGCCCACAACGCTGCCACACAGGGGTATTTTTAGCCTGGAATGTTCCAATCTTTCGCAACAGCGGAATAACCGGAAGCAGAATTATAACACAGGCCACATGTGGACTATGCCCCCATGTCATTGCAGACTCGTTATGATAATGCAGGTTACACTGCAAAGTGCTCCTGAGGGTTCCCTGCCCAGTTAATCATACGTTTAAACTGTGTAGTGACGTTACCCTATATTGTAGGCAAAATATAGCATTGTTATTTGTTTTTTTACTGCATAATAGTCTACACAAGAGCAGCGCTACCCGTATACGCATCACACGCAAGCCAGCTACTGTTACACTGCAAATCATACTGCCACACTACAACTATGTTAGCATAACTAGCATAACTAACCTAGCACTGTTAAGCATTGACTATCTCACTTTACTCTAACGACTTCACTGTTTAGAAACATAGAAACATAGAAACATAGAATGTGACGGCAGATAAGAACCATTCGGCCCATCTAGTCTGCCCAATTTTCTAAAAACTTTCATTAGTCCCTAGCCTTATCTTATGGTTAGGATAGCCTTATGCCTATCCCACGCATGCTTAAACTCCTTTACTGTGTTAACCTCTACCACTTCAGCTGGAAGGCTATTCCATGCATCCACTACCCTCTCAGTAAAGTAATACTTCCTGATATTATTTTTAAACCTTTGTCCCTCTAATTTAAGACTATGTCCTCTTGTTGTGGTAGTTTTCTTCTTTTAAATATAGTCTCCTCCTTTACTGTGTTGATTCCCTTTATATATTTAAATGTTTCTATCCTATCCCCCCTGTCTCGTCTTTCCTCCAAGCTATACATGTTAAGATCCTTTAACCTTTCCTGGTAAGTTTTATCCCGCAATCCATGAACCAGTTTAGTAGCCCTTCTCTGAACCCTCTCTAAGGTATCAATATCCTTCTGAAGATACGGTCTCCAACAACTGTGTTATTGTTATAATTATATAAAAATGTGCAATTCCTCATGGAACTGTCTAACTTCAGTACATCTTTAAACACGCTATTGTGGCGTATGTCGATGCCATGTAACAACCTGCACAACAAAAATAAAGAATTAAATTGGGCAGACTGGACAGGCCGAATGGTTCTTATCTGCCGTCACATTCTATGTTTCTATGTTTAGTGGGTGTGTTGACTGTTGTAGCGTTTGGAAATCAGTTTACCTGAGTTGGATAATCCAAAGTGACTGAAATTAAGATTTTTTTTCTCAACGCTGTGAGCAAGATGTCAGATATATACCTAAAGAATTTGGAGATCCAGGCAGATTTTAAATTTTGACACCCAAGACATTTTAAACAAACAGGAAATAGTTTCACAAGTAGGTAACTCCAACAAATTTGAAAGGCTGCACTACCCTCTCCTGGGCCTGGCACTCAGTGTGCATGTTGCCTATTTCAAAAGCATAAATCCTGGTATTAATGGAGCAATATTGTACAATAATTGGAGTAGACAGTAGTTTATACAGTAAAACAAAGCACTTTACTTTATTACTGTGTACATACATAATGGAGTTAACTTTATAATAACAATGATAACAGAAATATAATAATAATAATACAAGATTAATTAAATGTATTTACTATATATATATATATATATATAGTAATTGTGTATTGTATAATTTGGCCCCCAGCGGCACCCCCATTTGTGCATGTTCAGGTGAGTGCAGCCAACCCCCTTTGTTTTATATATATACACAGTAATAACATCTTTTGACAATTGAGAGAAAGCAGTATTGTGTGGAATCTCCTTAAGGAAGATAGTGGCTTCGGCAACAGTTAGACAACCCAGGAGAACTATACAGTGCAATATGGTAGGAGTTGGGGGATGAAATGGGCAGCCTGAAGTTTCTGAGTAGGAGTGAGCTGCTTAGGTGGCCCAGTACAAGCAGTAGAGAGACTGGGATAGAATGAGGTACAGGAATAACTGGAGAGGGCAAGAAGGTAGAGGCAGATGAGGTATGAACCCTAACGGGTAGCAGACTTGACTGGGTGATCCAAGAAGGCAGGCAGGATCCAACAAAGGAGGCCAAGGACAATCTGAGATGATTGGATACTGTGACGGACCCGCTGGCACTCCGACCGAGTACCTCCGCCAATCGATGCTCCTAGTGCTTGCCGAGGACTCCAAGCACTCCAACCGACACCATCAGCACTGCAGACTTATCCCATCCCCCAAGCATGAGCCAAGGCTTCAAGAAAGGATCAAGCAGGTCTGTTTAATGAGCACACAAAGCAACAGCCCTCATGCAGCAAAACAACTCCTCCTCAGAGGAAAACAAAATGACAGTTAAAAGGGTCAGTCAGTGTTTGAATATATGACAGTTATAAGGTCAGTCAGTGTTTGAATATATGACAGTTATTGGGTCAGTCAGTGTTTGAATATATGACAGTTATAAGGTCAGTCAGTGTTTGAATATATGACAGTTATTGGGTCAGTCACTGTTTGAATATGGCAGTTATTGGAAGTTGCAGAACTGTGTCAGTACCATTTAAAGGGCCAGAATAGTCTTTTAACCCCTTAAGGACACATGACATGTGTGACATGTCACGATTCCCTTTTATTCCAGAAGTTTGGTCCTTAAGGGGTTAAAGCACCAATAAGTCCAAATGGTGTTTCTAACTGGCAAAATCTCCCAGGGACCATAGTCATACGGCAAGAGGCTGGTAATTAGTCCTCTCCAGGCACAAGTGGCGAAGGGCACTTCGTCACACATCTTCCCATTGGAGGGGAGACTAACCAGTTACCTGACCTTCTGTTAGTCAGTACCTGAGTTAGTCGAGTGGCCCACCCACAACAAGCAGTTAACAGAGTAGCCCACCCACAATACACCATTACTGCACCTGGTGATTCCTGGTGTCAGACTCTGGCCTGTCCCAGGTTGCTGAGGGGAACTAGTGGGCAGAGGCCAGCAGCGCTCTGTCCAGATGCCAGCGCTTCTGCTGGGTTGGCTGGTGGGTATTCAGGCTCTGTACAAGAGGGCAAGGGAGGGCAGAGGCCAACCACGCTCTGCCCAGATGCCAGCTCTTCTGCTGGAAGGGGGTCAGTGGAGGCTAACATCTTCTCCACTATATCCAGTACCGGGTTAGGGGTTGGCTGTGGAGGGGAGGGGTCGCCTACCTCCTCCTCCTGGTACTCCTGCTGCCGCTGGGGAGCGAGACCGGTTGTCTCCTCTCCCTGGGGCTCCAACTGCAGTTAGGGATCTGGGCCGGCTGCCCAGCATCCCTGTAGGGCCGGTGGGGAGACCTCGATCCCATCTCCACCTGCCGTTTGGGGGTCCTCCAAGGACCAGTCCATGAGGTCCCCTACCTTGGCTACCTCTGGTTGCTGTTGGGGAGGTAGACCGGTTGTCTCTTCTCCCACTAACACATTCAGCTGCTGGGGAGGAAGGCCGACTGTCTCCTCTCCCGATAAGACATACTGCCGCTGGGGAGGAAGGACGACACCTTCTGCTCCCTGGGAGGCACACTGCTGCTGGGGAGGGAGACAGATTGTCTCCACTCCCTGTAGGATGTACTGCCGCTGGGGAGTAGGACCACCTGTCCTTACTCCCGGTACTTCCAGCTGCAGCTGGGGATCTGGGCCGAATGCCCAGCATCCCTGAAGGGCCGGTGGAGAGACCTCTGTCCCATCTCCACCTGCCAGTTGGGGTTCCTCCCAGGACCAGTATATGAGATCCCCCACGACTTGGGAATAAGGACCACCTGCCTCCTCTCTCTGTAGCTCTGGCTGCAACTGGGGATCTGGGCTGGCTGCCCAGCATCCCTGTAGGGCCGGTAGAGAGACCTCGGTCCCATCTCCGGTTGTCTCTTCCCTCTGCATGGTGCACTGCTGCTGGGGAGGGAGACCGGTTGTCCCCAGCCCCAGTCTCCACAATCTGAACTCACATTCCCGTGTTGCTTGGTTCTCCTCATCCAACTCTTGCATGATACGGATGAAGGGTCTGGGCCATACTCGACTAGCCGCCTCTTTAGCTCTGTGATGTAAGCGTCGCCCTCATAGCAATAGGTCATGTTTGCTTGGCCCCACTCTGGGCCACTAGCGCTCCGATTCGCACCTTGGATTCCGCTGTAGACAGGGGCGCTGCACGAGTACTAGCATTGCCCTCAATTATAGCTCCGTAATGCTACCGGTGTCTCTGAGCTGCTTCTCTTTGCACTAGGACGCCATCCCACTGCTTGCTACCAAATGTGACGGACCCACTGGCACTACGACCGCGTACCTCCACCAATCGATGCTCCTAGTGCTTGCCGAGGACTCCAAGCACTCCAACCGACACCATCAGCACTGCAGTTATCCCATCCCCCAAGCATGAGCCAAGACTTCAAGAAAGGGTCAAGCAGGTTTGTTTAATGAGCACACAAAAGCAACAGCACTCATGCAGCAAAACAACTCCTCCTCAGAGGAAAACAAAATGACAGATAAGTTCAGTCAGTGTTTGAATATATGACAATTATAAGGTCAGTCAGTGTTTGAATATATGACAGTTATTGGGTCAGTCAGTGTTTGAATATATGACAGTTATAAGGTCAGTCAGTGTTTGAATATGACAGTTATTGGAAGTTGCAGAACTGTGTCAGTACCATAAAGGGCCAGAACAGTCTTTTAAAACACCAATAAGTCCAAATGATGTTTCTAACTGGCAAAACCTCCCAGGGACCATAGTCATACAGCAAGAGGCTGGTCACAGATACAAACAGAGGAAGCAACTGATGATGGAATTGGTAACCAGACTCATTACCGTGAGCCCACATGAACTGAGGCTGCAACACAACTGGTTGGTTAACACATGGCAAAGCAAGCCATGGGGAATCAATAATCATGCAATGAGGCTAGTAAAAGGCAGTGGTTAAATAGGGAGCAATAGATTTAAGCAATTTGAAGCAATTAGGAATCAAATCATGGCATCACCAAGCAAGAAAAATAGGTCTGATTAATCCTTCATTGGGCATTTTGAGAGAC